TTTAGCGTCCATAAAACGGGTATTTCCTTGACCCTTTACTTCAATGTATGTTGACCTAGATATACAAGCAGCCTTAAGAGGGGAATGCTAAGTTTTTCCTTCACCTTTCTCTTGACCTTATTCTTCACTGTTGACTTAAGTAGACAGGCACCCTTAAGAAGGAAATACTAGCCAACAGTGATAGAATATCTAAAAGAGTGAACTGACTGACCGTCTTGATTCCTTCACAATGCTGTAACAGGTGTAAGTCTTCCCACTTCTCATATACATAGTTTTGTCTGGACAATAACGAGTTCAAGAGTTAGAAATGTAATATTTCCGAGCCGCTTTAAGTCACCGTGGGTGATTGTACGGCGCCTCCGCAGTCAAGCCTTGTAACAAGCTTGTTCCGCTGGTTTAGCGTCCATAAAACGGGTATTTCCTTGACCCTTTCCTTCAATGTATGTTGACCTAGATATACAAGCAGCCTTAAGAGGGGAATGCTAAGTTTTTCCTTCACCTTTCTCTTGACCTTATTCTTCACTGTTGACTTAAATTCGGACACGCACCCTTAAGAGAGTAATACTAGCAAAAAGTGATAGAATATCTAAAAGAGTGAACTGACTGACCGTCTGGATTCATTCACATTAATGCCGTAATAGATATAAGTGTTGCACTCCTGCTATACATACTTGTCTGGACAGTAAGAAGCTAAAGAGTTAGAAATATAGTATTTGCGATCCGCATTAAGTTATCAAGAAAGCCGTGGATGATTGTACGGCGCCTCCACTAGCAGCCTTGTCATAAGGTGGTTCCGCAGGCTTGGCGTCCTTAAAGCGAGTTTTTCCTTGACCCTTTACTTGAATCAATGTATGCTGTCGAAGATAGACATGTATCCAGTGTACGTAGCTGCCCATGATGGTACGACAAGCCGTTTTACTACAATTGTTCTAATTAATTGAGATATATACACATCTACAAGGACAGGTAATATTGTTGAAAACAATAATACTTAGAATAAAAGACCTGTTGGTTGTGATGTCATGCCCTGTAACCTCCATTCTTGTTTTTTTCGCCCTATCACATTAGACTTGGAGTCTGCGTGGGCTGTCATCCATAAGATTTACTTGCTGTGGCCTAACGCCCCCGCTGACGTCTTTCTCACTAATCCATCGGACTACACAGTACACCCTTGTGCGGAGGAGGATGAGTGAGTTAGTAAAGTAATACTGCTAAAGAAGTAACCCTGACCTTCTTGTCGGCCATTGGTCGGAGTGGCAGTGACCTACCAGGTGATACTGCGCTCTGATTGGCTCTCGTCGTAATGACGTACATGTACAGTACTGTGAACAGTTGGCATGACCTAACTTAGCCTGGTAACCAGGCCCCCGTGAGCTCTTCGGCGCTAGTAGCGTCACCGGCCGCCAAACCAGGCCGCAATTACCGTTTAGGTTCCTTTGCAACTTTGGTCTGCGCAATAGAAGAGTCAGCGTAATAGAAGAAGACAATAAAGGTCTAGGTAGAAAAATCACCCGCAAGCCGACCCTAAGGTCTGGTACCCAGGCCGAGATTGCCATCCTTACTGTGCACTCCAAAGTAATCAGAAACGCTACACTCGAAGCAGAGGCAAGCAGGATTTAATTTTCCTTTTTGTACTGGTATTTTTATGCCAGCCCAACACAAAAACGATACCAGTACAAGAAAGAAAGCTCGATTAAAAAAAGCCTGAAACACGCCAAAAGTAACCTAAAGCCCAAACCTCTCCGTCCATGTGGCGCCAGCTCGACACGCCAGAACTGACGCGTTGTCCTAGGATAAATAAAAGAACAGAAGTGTCAGGCGGCGGAGATGAGGTAGATTGGCATTAATAACGCTTGTTAGGACCCCGATATTGCAGCTCGGCTAACCGAGTCCCTGGCGTCACGCTGCATCGAACACTGATGGAGTCCTCGGCACCCAGCACGGGGGTTAGGTGTACAGGGATATAGGGGATTCTCATCAGATGTGCTCTCTTTATTTCATCAGATGCTTTCTCTGCATTTCATCGGATGTTCTGTCTTTATTATCTTTTAGTGTACAGGAATATATGGGATTTTCATTAGATGTGGTCTCTTTTATGCCAAAAAACAGTTACTCAAGCAACTGGATATGATTTTGAAAACGTCAGACGTTTCAGCTAGTATCCACTAGCTTTCGTCAGTGACTGAGAGACCAGAGGGGAAAGCAGGTTTATATACACAACCTGTTGATTGATATGCAAATAAAGTGAAGACAAATTTTTGGAAGTCGAAAAAGGAACAAAAGTCAGACAAGTCAAGACAAGATGATGCAACTTAGTCTGAAAGCTCCTGTTATACAGGACAGGAGCTTAAGTGTTGTCTGTCCTCGGGGCTGGGAGTGCCAAATCCCAAGTGCCGGAAAGATCGACCCGTAGCCCCCCTTCCCTGTTGAGGGAAGGGGGCTACGTCTGACGTCTGACGTTTTCAAAATCATATCCAGTTGCTTGAGTAACTGTTTTTTGGCATATCGTATTACCTGGATGTCTAACCTTCATCGACGTGGTCTCTTTTATCTTTGGCTATGGTCAACTGCGTCACTCGAAGGACTACAAAGTCAACATTTTTATTGGTTTTTGCACCCCCAGTTTGCCCAGTCTGTCATTTCGAATGCCTACGAAAATTCTTCTTGTCAGGAATGATTAAAACTGCATACGAACTTACACATTTAGACAAGAGGCTGTTATAAAGATTGCCTGCCGTCCTCACTGACAATGGATACAAGAAGTGAGTTAGAATAGAAAGCAAGTATCAATTCCGGCCTATGAGTACATCTCAATATTATCCTCATACCGAAATTAAAATCTTTTGGTCTTAGACTAAAGACGCATACATAGCCTGTGTTTGCACAATCTCTCGCTGGATGCGTTTAATTGACATCTCATAGGATGGGTAACACTCAAGCTGGTCGGCCGCTAGGAGCGCGATTTAGTCAGGCTAGAAAGCCCATCCCACCATCACATGAAACACCACAACGGAGTTTATTTTAAGTCCCGCCCATTCCCGTATCGGCTTTTCCTATTGGCTGAAAGATTCGTCCAATCACAGAGAAGTGCTGAGAATTGTTTAAGTCAGGTACGGTGAGGCTGTGTGGCCAGTTCTACTGAGGTGTTCGCAGTGTGCAGTGCCCCACGGTTTTCCTGACGTATAGTGGTTTCGATTCTAGCTAGCGAGCAAGGTAAGTACTGCGATGTTGTACTGCATTGTCCCACACATGTCTCTTGTGCTGATATGTTTATGCTCATTACGAGTTTCTTTTCTATACAGTTGCTTTTTTTATACAGAATCAGGTAGATTAAACATCTCTTCATGTTAACGTTGTCTAGTTTCACGTTTTAAGCGTCTGCATGCAAAATTCTGCTTGCATGTAACGTTAATCTCTTTGGCCTTACCATGGTACCATATGCATGGTAGGACCAAATTTCCGTGCAGGCAAACTGGTCCTTCAATGGCCGGCTAACTCCTGGCCAGTTACACTCCTTTTGAGGCCGATTTCTACTATTTATCCAACCTGCAAAGGAGTCTGTTGGAGACTAAGTATGTAGCACTTTCAGCCAGGAGCATACCTGGAGAGTTAACACACAAAGAACCGAGCCATATATTCTCCCCAGCTTTGCCGGAACGAAGTCAGTAAATCAACTCAATTTCACACCCACAGGTTCCGGGCCGGAAAGAACCGATCACAGCCACATCCGAGTGTCACATCTTCTTCTTCAGACATGAAAACTGCCGCCGGTGAAACTTAGGCGACAGCTGACAGAGTACGTCTACTTGAAGAACCCCCACACACACACAGCTCGAGCGTAGGACGATAGAATGAGGCTTGTACATGTACGTCAGCGGCCGCCACCTGAAGCCGCTCCCCATAGATAGGCCGAGCACGACGCCGCCCTGAAGCCTCAGAGATCGCGTTTCATCTCAGCTGCCGGTGACGTTACAGCCTCCTGCCCGCTTCTCTAAACCCTCCCCCGAGCACGGGACGGGACTGGCCACGCATGATAACGCCGCGTTAGCCACAGAGTGCGGAGGTGGTAGCTTTAGATTACTCGAGCAGACTGGTCAATGTATGTGTGTCAGGGGTTTACGTGTGGACAATTAGTTCAGAGGTGGCCTCCCCCCGACGTTGCTCGCTCTAGCTGTTGATGTAAGTCGGAGATACAGGCCACACAGCTCATGCCGGGCTGTATTCCCCGCACATCCGGCTTCACCGCCTCAATCCTCGGACCAGAGGGACAGAAATGCACGCTGCAAAGGTGCAAGGCGTTGATAACAGGCGGCGGTAGAGTTAGCCCTCCTTGCCGAACTGAACACCGTCATTACCAGTAAGGTATAATTTCCGCCATGTCTCCCCCTGTGACTGAAGCTCTATGATTAATTAGCGTTTTTTTTCTTCTGAGCGGCTTGCCGGTGGCCTTGTGAGCTTGAATCGATGGCCAGTACTCCCCTGGACTGTTGATAGTCCGTACTTAGGCCAGCGCGGAGTTACTTAGGATGTGCACACGGACCTGAGCTGCACATATTTTGACAGGGGCAAAAATTCTGGCATTCTAAATTGCACTGGTCAGTATATATCACCATCTGGCAACGTCCCAACATCTAGACGCTAAAAACGGTAACGTATTGCTAGTTTTAGAACGTGGCTAGAGTCTCGAAAACGTAGCGAGTTGCTACTACATTAAAGAACTGTTCAGCAAAAACGAACACGTCGAGTTACCGCTCAGTACGAAGATGGACAACAGCGAGACCTCCCTAGCCAACATCTATACGCTAAAAACGGTAACGTATTGCTAGTTTTAGAACGTCCCAGCAAAGAGTCTATCTAAAGCGTAGCGTGTCGCTAGTTTTAGAGAACTGCTCAGGAAAAAGGAACACGTCGAGTTACCGCTCAGTGCAAAGATGGACAACAACGAGACCTCTTCCCCTGCCAACAACGGCACCAACCTGGACATGGACCCCGGGCTGACGTTCACCTTCTCCGAGCACAAGCAGACGCCTGAGGCCATCGCCGTGTACTCTGTGTGCTACACGCTGGTGTTCCTGGGCTCCGTGGTGGGCAACCTGCTGGTGGTGGTGGTCATCGGCCGGACCCGCAGGATGTGGGGGGTCACCAACTTCTTCATCTTCAACCTGGCGGTCAGCGATCTGCTCATCGCAGTCTTCTGTATGCCCTTCACGCTGGTCGGCCACATCTTCATCGGTAGGGCCTTCATTTCTACGTTTCTTCTTAATGTACTGTCTTGTGTATATATGTCTTGTGTATATATTTGGTAGCCCATTTGGGTGGCACATTTAGTGTAGAATTAGCCTTGGTACAGTCTTCTGTATGCCCTTCGCGATGGCCGGTCACATCTTCATCGGTAGGACCAACATTTCTACGTGTTTTGTACCTCTTGTACATCTACTGTCTTATATGTACGTTGGGTCGTCCTTTTGGGCGGCACATTCAGTGTAGAATTAGCCTTGGTGCAGTCTTCTGTATGCCCTTCACGCTGGTCGGCCACATCTTCATCGGTAGGGACTTCATTTCTACGTTTCGTCTTAATGTACTGTCTTGTGTATATATGTCTTGTGTATATATTTGGTAGCCCATTTGGGTGGCACATTTAGTGTAGAATTAGCATTGGTGCAGTCTTCTGTATGCCCTTCGCGATGGCCGGTCACATCTTCATCGGTAGGGCCTTCATTTCTACTTCTTTTGTACCTCTTGTATATCTACTGTCTTATATGTACGTTGGGTCGTCCTTTAGGGCGGCACATTTAGTGTAGAATTAACCTTTGTGCAGTCTTCTGTATGCCCTTCGCGATGGCCGGTCACATCTTCATCGGTAGGACCAACATTTCTACGTGTTTTGTACCTCTTGTACATCTACTGTCTTATATGTACGTTGGGTCGTCCTTTTGGGCGGCACATTCAGTGTAGAATTAGCCTCGGTGCAGTGTTCTGTTGCCCTGCACGCTGGTCGGTCACATCTTCATCGGTAGGGCCATCATTTCTATACGTTTGTCTTGTACATCTAGTGTCATTCTTATATGTGTTTTGCGTCGGCACATTTGGTGTAGAATTAGTCTGGGTGCCATCCTACTTACTCGAGATTTATAGTGATAATGACAACTTTATTTCACAATAGGGTACGAAGTATGGCATCTACTAACTACACACTAACTACATTTTCATGAGGCTAACGCATGTAATACAGGAGTGGGTGGCTAGTATGGGAATCTAATACAAGAGTGGGTGGCTGTTATGGGGTAGGTATGAACATTTACAATCATTTGGGGAGTTTTTTTAATATCTATACAGCCTTTAATATATATCATATACTCCCCGTGCAAGCAGGGTGGCACCCATTGTAGCATTGCAATGAGTGGGATCTCCATATGTGTGTATATCTACGTTCCTGAACTGTGTTATTTGTGTGTTGGGCAGCACATTCGGTATAGAATTAGCCTGGGTGCCATCCTAGTTACGCGAGAATCATACACTTCCCATGGAACTGTATTTAACTTAGCATGGTGGCACCCAGGCTTTGTATGAGTTTGTGCAGTATTGCAATGCTTTGGACGGCCCACAAGATCCATATGTGATGTAGTGCGAGGTTTCTTGCCAGTTTTTACTTCTTACTAAGGATCGGAAATTCGTGAATCATTCATTTTGCATCAGCCTTGATACAAACACGTGAAAAAGAGCGTTTCGACTGTAAGATAAGAATGGTCAATGATTCGTCTTTGCCAAATCTTGAATTATTGAACACATCATTGTGAACGTTCGGTTCACTGAAAAAGGTTTGATTTACGTCGACTACGATCAATAGCGCGAAGTCAAACTGCCCAATCCATGAACTTGAGATGACTTTGCAAGTTACCGCCTGTAAGTTATTGCGCACTGGACGATGTAGCTGTAATGTACAAGTCCAATAGTCACACCCTGCAGCCAATTTGGGTGAAACAGCCAACTTGCAATCATGGCAAGTCCCAACCCTTTATTACTTGGCTCTGTGGGGATGTTGTGTATCAGGCGCTGGGAAAGAACTGTTAGGGAACGTACGTTCTTCCCTTACGTGTAAACGTCGGGGCACTATTCTCAATAAGCAATGACTTGGCGTGGCTATGACGGGAGTTGTGTGGGTAGGTATGACGCAAACGGGCGAAGAAACCTTGGTTCTAGCTACTCTATCAGGAATAGAAAATGTATGAATGTATAAATTACCTCTCTAAAAGCCATTTGTACGTTCACGCAAACTATTTGATCCCAATTTCGTGTCTAATCTCTGAGTGCGCGCGTACTTGCGTACGTAATCTTAACACCGCCGCCTCTGCTACTTCTACTGCTAGTTCTAAACACCCAGACAGTCAATCAAGTCGCGCGGACTTTTATCAGCGAAATGGATTTCCATTCCAAACTACACACATGTAGTTTCATAGAAACTCCCCTCCTCTTTATCAACGTCTCAGGCGGCGAGGAAAAAGCTCGTCATCTCAGCCAGGCACTCTGACTGATACAGCCCCACAGACGTCACCCATACACACAGGACAAAACGTCTGCCGTATCTCCGTCCCAGCTATTCAGGAAAGTAATCTCTGTAAAAGCCAAGGCGACGCAGTACATCTCCAGAACAGCGACAAAAAAAGAAGCGGTAAACCTTCAACGTAAAGCGAGTTGTCAACTTCCATATCCGAGCGTTCCTCGTTCTCACGACGCCGGTAACTCTCCCAGGTAATGTGGCAGGAAGTACTGATTCCACCGCATCTACTTTGATTTTATGGTTCCGCGCGAAGATTTCCCACCTCAATAAACGGCTATAGCCTCCGGTATTTTGTTCCATCGTCACGGGGATGCCGGGGACTTCATTACCGCCAACGGCATTACATAGCGACACGCGTCTTGTTAATGATCTACGTGTAGATCACATGACATGTCCTTGGTTCTGAAACTTCGGTTGTAAAGTAAGTGGATGTGTTGGTGACACATATCATTTCACTGCATCGCAGTGTGGCTCATATGATATGTCCTTGGTGCTGAAACTCCGGTTATAAAGTAAGCCTATGACATGTCCTTGGTTCTGAAACTTCGGTTGTAAAGTAAGCGGGTGTATGGGTGACACATATCATTTCACTGCATCGTAGTCATGGCTTTCTCATCCTAGCCAACATACACTGCTTTGAAATGCTTTGAAACACTCTTACTTTCATACACAGTTGCCTTTTAAGAGATTTTCAAGAGGCAGTACGGTACAGGTTGGCGATATGCACTTACTGTTTAGATGAGACAGAATAGACGATTACTATGCTGTTAATTCATCTTTGCTTTTTAAAAATAGCACGCCTGGGGAACGCTGCATTTTGGAACAGTCCCCATGCCAAGATATAATTAGACTTGAACTTTACGTCTGTTGAGTCGTTTTAATATGATGAGGAGCTCCCATTGTCATTGTGGATCTCTACAACTGTTCGTGAAGAATTTTGCTCGCGTCGCGTGGGCGTTTACGGAATGGGACTATCCACCACGGATATGTTCCATTTGGTTACGAAATCACCCAGTAATGTTTCCAGTAACCTTTCCTTTGGTACTTATCCTTTGTTACCCAATCATGCCGACGATTCAGTATCCATTTGTTGACAATCACCCGTAGCTTTAAAGGCTTCGTGCAATATTTTCTAAGGGATTTATGTATTTTTCGTGACTTTTATAACGATGGCTGATTACGAATGTTATAATAATTCGTGGTGATGAATACAAATGGTTTTGTTTGCAACTGAAATAGCACTAACGATGTCGATATAAATAACCAGGTAATTGCGATGTATCTATAGACATTATTGACTTTTCCGTCTCAATCTATGCACCGCCACGTTAGGGTCAGTTAGGTGACAGATTCAGGACACGACTTAGCCTGTTAGACCTAAACAAGGGAGCTGTCAAAGACTTTACAAGGATAGAGAACAGGTAGACTGAAAAGGGAAAGAACAGGGAAGAAGGTAGCCTATAGCTAAAACCCAGTCTTCTTAGCCTTAGATCTGCTCATAAAAAGTCGACTATCTGCCAAAAGCGGAAAGCCAAGTTTTGGGAGCGGACGTATAGCTAACAAGGCTGGAGTTCAGGCTTGGAACAAGGAAGGTAAGGAAGAATGGAAGAAGGGCAAGGCAAGGAAGACAGGCTTAACGCAAGGAGGAAGAACAAAGATTAGACGGGCAATGGGTTTGCAAACTGGCAAACATTAACGGGATCATTCAGTGTGTTGTATATGCTAAAGGCATCCAATGCAGGGCGGCACAACCTGATTTTAAACGACAATATTCTCGTCAGTTTTAAGGGTAACAAGTTGAATCTAGCTAGGCTGGTTCTACCTATTTATGGGTGGTATCAAAAACAGGGACGCCTCACGTAGCTTGTTTTTTGGCTATTTCAAAGGCATCAAGTATAAAATGATGACGAAAATGACAGTAAATGTCAATATCAGACAGTTTCCTCATCCAGAATATTTGTCCTTTCGCTGCCCTGAAATTGCATTGGATGCCTTTAACAGGTAAAGGACGGATCATAATTTTGCACTCTTCTTCTTTCAAACACGATTTCAAAAGAAATCTCTCACCAATAGTTATTTGTCGCAAAGATGCGGTAACAATATCTGCTAAACTATGATCCGTCCCTATACCGTACCCTTGGCAGCCGACTGTGCCTTATTATCCACGATAGGCGGATAGCCCCAGCTGTAGAGATTGTCCGGGATAACGCCCAGGACCGATGTGTTTTACCGGTACCTAATGAGCCTGCTATACCGTGAATGGTGCGATCCTACAGATCCGACGCACACGATCAGTAATGTAGTCGTCATCCTACAGTGAGCTGCAGACTTTGGTTCCATGGAGCTGCCGGAACAACGACGATCCCCCGTCAGGGCAGACTGACATATACACAATCGCACGGCTGAGTCGTGTGGCCTTTTCCGTCAGTAGATGTGTGAAGGAATGATTCATCGCAACATTACATCCACACGTAGGATAAGGACCACTCTATACGTCCTTGTTGGAGTGTTACACGTACAAGATTTAACGTATACACGGCGGCAATCGGACAGATGAACTAGTACTGAGGTCCCCATACATTCCACTTAGACGGCGCTCTCACGGCGCTCTATCTGCGACCTGAAATTGGCCAGAGCGCTCATCGTTGCATCGCCGTCCTCGGCGCTCTCACGG